GAATGCAAGGAAGGAAAGAAATAGAGGTGGAGGTGATGGGGTGCAAAAGCAGACTCCATGCAGAAAGGGTAGCACTGAAGAAGAGCATGTTATTTTCTGTTGCAGCCTAATAATGTGGCTGTATTTTGCCTCTCGGGTCAGCTACTACAGTGACAACAAGTTGAATTGTGTTGATTGACATCAACTTTGGTATCATTCAGTATGTTAGTCTGTTACACTTGACTGCTTTGCTGAACTTAAGTAAGGAACCTCTTCTGGCTGTAGCTGATGCAGATCATAGCCTGACCGGATCCTTTCAGGGTGTGGAGGGCTTTTTTTTTTTTTTTTTCTTGGTTGGTTGTTTCTTTGTTTATTTTTGGGGTTTTTAAGGAAATGTTGTTTATAACTCAGTGTCTCTTTCCTTATTAAATTAAGGTTTTATGTCAAATACACTGAACTAAAATGGCTTCCCCCCACCCCCTTCAGATGCTCAAAGACCAATACCTTGGCTACAGGAAAACCTTTCTGGGAGATGCCATGGATGTGTTTGAGGCAAGACGAACAGAAGCTAAGAAGTGGCAGAGCGCGCCACGTGTTACCACTGGACCGACCCCTTTCAGCAACATACCAAATGCAGCAGCCGTTGCGATGGCTGCAACACTTACTCAGCAGCAACAGCCTGCTACAGGTCTGAGTGCATTCAAGTTATAGATTATTAGTGTTGCAACAGTAGTAAATTCGTGTAAAATTTTTGATGAAGTCTTCCTGTGTGTTAGACTAAAAATCTAAACGTTGTGATGAGCGAAGTTACTGATAGATAGCCAATAGAAAAATGCAGGGTAGACTTAGCAATAATTATACAGCAGATACTTAATCTTGTGAATTTACTTGTATTAGTGATATTTACTGTATTGTTCTAACTAACCCCTTGGAATGTGAGTCTTCACTCTTCAGTAACATCTCTAAATACCCATAGTGTAGCCTCTTCAGAATTGTATGACTATAGTAAATTATTTCAGTTGGATGAGGAGAGAATATCAAAATGCATATTACCTTTTTCTTATGTAAAATTACTAATGCATTTTTTTATATAGCACTTTGGAACTGTAAAATTAAAAATGCTGTAGGACAGGAAGGATAGTGGAGCAAACATCTGTAGAATAGGAAGACAGATGCCTGGCTTATTGTTTTATAGCCAGTTCCTTTGTCAGGGTGATGTTGGAGCAGTTTTTGCTGGTCATTCTGCTGTTGTGAATAGAGGAGAGTGGGTTGGTAGTTCTGTGTGTGCATGTGTGTAAGAAGACTAACAGGGGAAATGTAAGACCCACTGCTAATGAAGAATGGATATGGTATGGCAAAGGAAATAACTTAAGGCACCTTAATTAACATTGTTACGCTAACCAACACTTCTCAGAGAGGGATTCCTGAATGTAGATATTTGAATTAATATTTAATCATTTAACAGAAATAAGATAAATTCCATTGAATGTTACTTGAACACGGATACGTGTCTGTTAGCAGATTGTGAAAAGCAGAGATAACTTCATTCTACCATTTATTTTCTAAAAAATTGTCTATCGTAGCTGTACTAAAAGTCATATTAGCACCCACTCCTTCTCTTGCATTATAACAGCGGTCATATTTTGAATAGTTTTAATTGGAGACCTATGCAGCAACCACCCCTAGCTTTGACAAATTATTAGACTGTCCTTGTCTTCTCCATAAAAGGAAAATGCTTCCAGCCCTGGCCCTTATAAACAGCCAGGAGATGGGTTTAAAAGACACTCATGCCAAAATACTCTGGCCACAACAAAAAATGAAGTCGCTATGAAATATTTCTCTTAAGTTTCCGTCATAGACTGCAGTCTTCCTGTTGCTGCTGTGTTAATCCATGGAAATTTTGTTGGAAGTGACATCTGCAAAAGAGTCTGGGATAAACAGAAAACATGAGAGAATGTAATGTCACACTTCAGTGTTTTTAATACAGATAGAAGTGTGGCATGTGCGGCCTAATGTTGCCAAAGTAGTTCCCTCTCCCTTCATCTTTATCCTTGTATCCTGTTGGTTGTTTTTAAATACTCTCCACAGTCATGACAGGATTAGATGTGTATTAGTCATATACTTGGGATGTCACGTTTAAAGTTATGATACCTGTGTTTTCCTGAATTGGTGTGAGGGTTTTGAACTTCCTAGTCCAGATTCAAGAGAACTGCTCATGACCTCAGTAAATTGATGCCACTTATGGCATGACTTCGTGAATATTCTCTTAGGAGTAGGAGTGAAGAGAGGGGAAAAATAAAAGGCAGAATTGACCTGTACCGACACACCAAGGTAAGGTGACTTTATACCTTGAGGTATTTTGTAACATTTTGTAGCAAAAGGGGTAAATGAGACTGTGTAGGTTGGTTTGGGGCATATTTTTGGTTGGTTGTTTTAGCAGAGTGTTTCAGAAGCCAAAAACGTGCCAACTACAGAAGTGATGCAGATAGAACAAAGCCATTAACTTCACCAAACATGCCAACAAAAGTAGATAACAACTTGTTTACTACTTAGTTGGGAAAGTTACCCTCTGTGCAACTCACTCGAGGACCTGGAGGAATAGAAGTAGATTGATGCTTTGAGTGGCACTTCAAGAGCACTTAGAACTCTTAGAAAATAGGGTTAGGTAGAACTTGAAATCATCTTTTCTGTTCTAGCTCAAAAGCAGGATTTGAGGATTTGAATAGGCCTGACCTATTTCAGAGATATCTTAAAGTCTTAAGCTTGATAGAAAGGAGGGTTTCATAGCTTTTCTAAATTACTGATTTCAGTGCTTGATGTTTTCCCAACAACTTATGTGAAGTTTCTTACCTTCAGATTAAGGCTGCTACTTTTAGTGTAAAAGGAGAAGAATCTCTTCTTTCAGTTTTGCAGGAATCTAAATATTTAAAGACTGCTTCCTCTTAATTTTCCTTCTTTAGAGTTTTCAGATGGCCATTTGCTGCAGTAGAACTGCAAATGTTTGCATGTTTTAACTTTGTGTTGTTATAAATTGGATAAACTATCTGCTAGAAGTTAAGATCATGCCTATTTCTTTGCAAGATCTAGATTCTGAAGAGTGGGATAGACGAGGGTGGGATAGACGAGGGATGGTAGAAGGTTATGAGAGAAAAAGACTGAGATGAGGTGTATGTAAAGTGGGAGGGGATGTCTGTAATACCTGACCTGCTGTTGCTGTTCTTAAAAGATAAGAATAAAACAAGAAAATTAATCTGAGCTTTAAAGTTTTTGACTAAAATCTAATATATGGTACTTCTAGTCTTGAGGGATCAGGATGGTTAGTCTCTCTTTTTTTTTTTTAAAAGTATTTGATGTTTACATGGTTAAGTCTACTTCATAAGAGTAATATAGAGTTAGTGTTCCTTCTCAGAAAAAAGATAAATATTTTAAATGTGTGTTCAGAAGTCAAACATTTAGTAGCCACATCTAAGCTGTGGGATCAGGGAATGTTTCCCCAGTTCCTGGGTGTAAATACACACCCTATTTATGTTCTCTCTGTATGCCAAGACATGTCTGGCTTCTGTTGAAGTAAACAAAGCCAATGGATCCTGGCCATATGGAAGAAAGGGAGCAAAGATGCATTCCACTTGTCTCCTGGGATGGATGATCAGGACACCAGGACTGTGGCGTGCGCACTGAAGCACAGTTTTTGTGCAGTTTTTTTGAAGCTAGAGTTATTAAAAAATATGCTTAAGTTTTGTCTGCACACAACCTTTCTCCCTAGTTCAGCACTCTGGCTCTGAGCACAGCTTCCTTGGTAGCAGTGAGGCTTTTGTGCAGTGGCAGCTAGAGCTTTAACTGCTGCCTCACCTGCACCTTCCCTGAGCAGTCTGGAACAGCGTGGAACTTAAAAAGGTGGTGGCTACTCTACCTTTTGTGACTGATGTAAAAGATTTTAAAGGACATTTAAAGTCTAGTCAACTAAGAGCTGTAAGTGCTCGAGCCTGAAACTGATCTTTTTCTGGTAAGACTTAAGTTTTGTCTTAAATGCTTTATTTCCAAGCTCACCTTTCCACCCTAAAAATAAAGTACCCTTACTCTCCTTAACTGGTGGAGTGCAGAGTTAGTCAAAGCATTATCAAGCACACTGTTCTGGCTTGACTATGTATGAGGTAGAAGTGCTGATGAGAAAAGGATACCAAAATCTTCATAGCACTTAATGTCAATTTACAAATGAAAAATTAACATTGGTTTAAATTAGTGTATTACTTTGTCAGAATTGGATCTAAGTTGTGACACTAAATTTAGTCACTGTTAGGACCAGCTGTGATTTAAAAAATTGCAGTATGTCACTTTGGGGAATCTAGCTGACCTGCCTGGACTCTTTCTAGTGGGTCCTAATTATTAAACTGAAATGCTCTGCAGGGCAAATATATCGAGTTCTAAAATGTTGATACTTGTTGTAAAGAATTTATCTCGTACCTATAAGCCAGAAGTGCCAATTTTTTGCTAGCACTTTTGGCATCGAAGCATCTTTATTACTAGTTTTTGCTATTGAAAATTATGTCTGTTTACAAGGACTGTAAGCAGTGATGATGCCTTCAGACCATTATGGTACAAAATCAATGAATATGCTGTTGCTGAATGAAAAGCTTTTTAGCCTAAGGCATAAGATCCTGGTTTATATAAATATATAATGATTTTACTGGCTCTAAAAGCGTGTTGCATTTGGTAAAAAGCTTGGCCTGGAGCACTGTAGTGTTTTGCTTTAAGGTTTTCCACTAACAGTGCTTCCTACTGCGATAGAAACCTGGGAACTTGAGACAGAACTGGCTATGTTTGTGGGTTCTTTTTTTAGTTCATTAGATGACTGACTTGTGTAGAGATTTTTGTTTCTTTTTATTGATAACAATTTTCTTATTTTTAAAGAGCTGCTAGGTAGATGTATCAGTATTTAAACTGGATGTAAACAAGTTTAGTTGGAAATTTATGTGAAAATTTGGAATTACATCTGATACACCTTTTAAAATTGAATAAATAGCTTGGGCTTCCCAGCTATTCCCTGCTAAGCAGAGACTGAAAGCTAATGTTACTTGCCCTTAGCATTTAGTTTAACACTACTTAAGAATATAGAGATGTCATTCAGCTTGGATCACAAAAGAATTTTGTTTTCCTAGCAAAACTGTTACTTTTCAATATACAGTGCCTTTCACTTGATTCAGAATGATTTTTTCCATTTAAATCTTCAAATACTGAAATTATTTTAGAAGCTTGAAACACTTAAGTTTTAGAACTCTAGAGAAATATTAGTAACAGGAAACTTTGCAGTATGAAGGAATTTTTTTTTTGAATGAAAATAAGCTTAAATGTCATAATGGTTTAAGGAAAAAGAGTGAAATCTGAACTTTATCTGTGAAAGTGATGAGTTGTTAAATTACTGTATAGTACAGTATGTTCAAAGATGGGGAAGGCTATCTTGAGTTAAGGTGTGAATGTGGATTAAGAGTTTGGCACTGTATCTTCAATGGTTAAACTTTAGTGCACTGAAAACTGTTTGAAAAAGACAGGAATATAAGATTGTACTGTGAAAACTGTCAGAATATATTAATTATTTATCAGAATTAATTATTTTAAAATGTGTTAGCTATGGGCTAGCAAGTTGATTCTTTATTCCCCAAGGTTAAGACAAAAAAAAAAAGGAACTGAGGCTGTAAATCTCGTCTTGGCAGACTGAAAATGTTTTTTGACAGTCCTGCAGCTTAGTGTGAATATGCAGGGCAAGTACTGTCAACTTTTTTTAATTATGGGACAAACTCTGAAATTTTGAATGTATCTAATTCCTTGAGGTACACAGAACTGTGCCTTTTGTAAATGTTTATTTAAACAGGTGGTTTGACTAGTTTACCTTATTGAATGGTGTTATGTAGCAGAGCTTAACAGAACTCAGTTATCACTTGTGTGGAAAAGAATTGAATTGTCATGTTACTGTGTAATTGACTTGCTTAAAAATGAACAATAAATTTAATAAAATAAAGTCATTGTCTTGTTTTTTATCGTAGTGTTCTGTTTAAATTCGGATGGAGTATTTGAGTAGTTTTGAAGTTTCCTATTTATTAAAAAAATTAACTTTTGGTAACATAGTCTTAGTTACATTAGGGTCAGTTCTTATGTTTTTAATTAGAAGGTTTTCCTTTATCCTGATTCCATTAATACAGGTGGAAAAGTGTCGTTACCTATGAGTACTCTCAAGGTTTTGATGAATGTTTTAAAGGTTAAGGTGAGACTGGTTAACTTTAAAAAATACTAAATGATGATGTTATGTTGTTAGCTTTGACTAGTTTCACCTTATCACAGCCTGTTTTCTTAGATTTCTACCAGGTGGATGTAGAGGCAGACAGTTAAGAGGAAGTTTGAGGTGGAGTTTGGGATCTTAATGGGATTTGTTGAAAGCAATGATGTTCACATTATCAGATACTTGATAAATAAATAAAGGACCTCTTTACTATGAAAGAGTAAGGCAAGTTTGTTCTCATTTTTTTTATACCAGGGCCACAGCCATCTCTGGGAGTTAGTTTTGGAACGCCATTCGGCTCAGGTATTGGCACTGGCTTGCAATCAAGTGGCTTAGGTTCTTCAAGTCTTGGAGGTACACTTTAACTTTTCTAATCTTTCATTGAATTATTATACCGCACATCTGAATCTCTTGCAAACCTTTCACTCCACTAAGAGGATGATCTCTTTCAGGGAAAGACCTTGAAAGTTGTCGCTCTGCGCTTTGCAGACTTCTTCGTGCCTTGCAGAAGGAGTTGCTAAGACTAATGTTAAGGCTAATAACCTGCTGTAGTGAAAACCCAGGATGAACAGCCTAAAGTAATCACATAGAAGTTCTGTTCGTAAAGCTAAGGAAGTACATCCTTTTGTTAACTACAACTTGACTTAGTTTTTCATATATGAAAGTTAGGCACCTGAGGCATTAGCTGTAGCTAATCCACGCAAGTTTTTCACCTCTGTGTACAACTGTTGACTATAGGGACCCATTTCTACTTGGAGTAAGATAAGGATAAATGGTAAATTACTACAGTTCTGGGATCCTGCTTGCTGAAACACATTTGCTTTAGCTGTCACTCTGCCCTTCATTGCTGAGGTGGAAAAAAAAAAAAAGTCCCTCCTCACTTGAAAAAGCAACATTTAAAATGAGGGGAAAAAAATACTTGCCAAATGTTAATAGTGCTGGTGGGGAATATACTCCAAGAAGAGACACGGCTGAAAGAGTAGGTGGTAAGAAAAAAAATTACAAAATTCACATAACCTTTTCATTTAAATGTAATGAATTCTCAGTAGCAGAACTACAGGTAGAATTTAAGTGATTAATAGAATCTAATCTGCATGTAAATCCCCTCTATATAGATCAGGGGTTCCTACAGTGCAAGTCAAAAGACACTCAAGCTTTTGTATGAAATCTGCAAAGAAAACTGTTACATCTGCTGAGCACAAACATAATATGTTGTTTTTTCTTGGTACATCCTCTCTTCTCTGTAGCCTCAGTCTACATCCTGACATTTTGCCTCTTTATGAGCCAAACATGTAAATGGGTGGTGTTTTGTATTTAAAATAATTAAACATGACTTGTTATTGGAAAGGTGATGTAACTTGAATGTTATGTCAGATTTACCTTAAATGGTCATCTTGAAGTTATCTTTATCTCTACCAGTGTGCTTTCTCATCAGATTTGCAGCTCTTTCAGATAAAGGAAAGTCTGCACACCTAAACAGGAAAAATAACCGAGAACAGTGGGCCCAAAGGAAAGGATTGTTGAATTACTAGTGTTCCCACAATGTTTTAAATGCCTTAAAAATAAGTTCTTACTTTTCAGCCACAGAGGTGACAGACTAAAGATGGGTGAGCATATAGAAGCAATCTTACCAATGTAAATTAAAGAGCATTTTCTTTTAAATTGGTGGACAACTGCTTCTAGTTTTTACTTGGAGGCCTAATTTGTCGTTTTGCTAGTTCTCTGCTTAGGAAGGAATTTGCTTGCATTTCATCTCTTCTGTATTAATTTGCAGAATTTTCTTCACTTGACAAATCAAGAAGACAAATCTAATAGAAGCAAGCGTAGAAGAATAAAGAGATACATAAAAAATATCCTACTGGTGTGCTCTTGGAAATAAATAGGCAGAATGAATACTTAAGATGTTTGGGTTTTTTTTGAACAGGACAATTTTTAATATATAGTCCTGAAACACGTGAACTGGGGAAGCTTGGTCTCATTCTGTGATAAATACTCTCTGAATTTTGTCAGTGGCAAAGAGGCTTTTGCCTTTGAGTTTATAAGATAAGTTGCATATAGATCCTGTGCTTCATTAAATATTTGCAGACGTCTTGCCTGACCATTGGTAGTTCACACTAGACACGACAAGAGGGTGTATCATTTAAATACACTGTCTTACATTCAAATCATACTTGTCATTATATACCCTTATGTGATTTAAAAATGGCAGAAAACTAAAGAATACTGCTTCAGGTAGTGTTTCCAATCCTTCCTAGTTTTAAAATCTAAAAGTTACGTCTGTAAAGGAATGTTAAAAGCTTGATTTTCAGTAACATACAAGTATTTTCCCTGACACTTCCAACTTAAGTTGGGGGCATAATTTTCTCAAATACAAATGTTCTTTCTGAAAAACCTCTTGACGTCCAAAATGAGACAATACATTTCTTTTACTGTTCCCTTTCCTGACCCCTCTCTCAAACTGAAATGTGAGATCACTTCAAAGGAACAGTTGATGTTAATGACAGTTTGAAGCCTTGAAATATTTGCATTATGAAAATATAAATGTCAGTTACAAAACTAACAAAATGGGGTTTATTACAGCCATTGTGTTTATGGCCTTTATAAGATGATTTTTTTTCCCCCCCATTAAATGTTGTGCAATTCTGTTTCTATTCTGTATGTAACCTATTTTGTGGTTTATGAGATAAAACTGATCACTAGTAACCTGGGAGGGGGGGGTAGGGTAGGGTGGGACTGACTCTAAAATAATCCAAATGTAAACTCCAGAAAATGTTTACTCTGTTTTAAGTGTAGAGAATTCTTCCTAGAGAGTTGTGGATGAAGGTAGTGGTTTTCTGTAATAGAAATCATATAACTTGTCTCTGAATTTCCTTAGTTTTGGTCCATTTGATTACCATTTTCTTGCCAAACTAAGACCAGTTCAACAGCAGATTTTTAGAGTCTGACAGATTACTTCGCCTGCTTGTATAGCTTTGCCTTTACTCAGTTTTGTGTTTTGAGGGAAGTATTTTTCTCCACTGCGCTGTGTTCTTAACACAATGCTGTACTGAGAATAAAATACTCTTAGGGCAATAATCTTAGGAATATTTATTTACCAAATAATCCTTAGAATTATGTCTGGGTTTAGAATACTTGCCCAAAACCTATGTGTCTTTAATTGCTGTGGCTGTAATTTTTTTGTTGTTATGTCTTTACTGTTATTCTGCTAGGATTTGGAAGTAGCTCTGCCTTTGGAAGTAGTGCCACAGGAGCATCATCATTTGGGTTTGGAACTACAAGTAAACCATCAGGAAGTCTAAGTGCAGGTTGGTTTCTTTCTCTTGAATTCATGTTTATCTTAAAGCAAAAGTGTTATAATCAAACTGCTGCCCTCAGTCTAAGAAAGGTATTGAAACAAATGTGCTTAAAGTTGCATGTGTATATAACCTTTAAAGTAACTATTTACTTGCTAAATACACATTTTCAGTGACTTTTTTTAGGTTCTGTTAAAGGTTTCCTAGGTAGACAGTACTGAGTGGGCATTAAGGTTCTCTGTTTGATTGGTGTCTGTCTAACCAGGAGTGGGAGCAGGAGATCGCATGCATCCGCTTGGATCAAATGTTGTCTGAGGCTCAGAAATGCAGTTACTATTTGAATGTATAGGTTATACAGTTACTGAGCTGTTGAAATAAGCATATACATCTGTGACATATATACCAGTAACTTGAATTCCTGTATTTACAAGCAAAATGAGAATTATTTTTTAGGAGCTCATTCCTAAAAGGCTTCCTTAAAACTTCCTTCACAGAAGGCTTCCTTAAAACTGTTTATCTGCTTATCCTTTCTATTTGAATAGTAAGTTATATGTATTGTATCTCTGTATATATCCATAATTCATTAACTACTCTGTAAACATTTCTGTGGCAACTGGACTACTCGGTACTCATTCCCCTTTTTTGCACCACTAAAGAGGTGTCAAACCAAAGTAAATAGGAAGTCTGTCTTAGCTCTGGTGGTGTGCAGAGACAATTCAGATGTCATTTCACTGCATTCCTCAAACCAAGCTTTGTCATGGTGGCAGTCCCCCCAGTCTCTCTTCAGCAGTGAGGGTGTTGGACCCAATAAAGATTGTTTTCAGTTATCTCAAGAATCTCAGCTACAGAAGGTAGTAACCAGGAATAGACAACATTAAATATCATTCCAGGCTTATAAAATAAAGGGTCATAAAATCCTGATCTAGACTGGGATTATGGAATAGAGATCTCCATAAACATTTGGTAGCCCAGAAGCACATTAACTGTTTCCCTTTCCTGTCCAAAATCCTATGCTGTATAGCTGCTTGACTGCACGTGATGTTTAGTTTACTTTTATTGGGGGTGTATAAATGGGTTTGAATGATGCCTGAGGCTAGCCAGGTTATGTATTTTTTTAATTTTAATGTGTCCTGTTTCTTAGATAACATTTACAGGATCCTGAAACGTTTTTTTTCTGGTTTATATTACCGTATGACAGTTATATCTTGTTCCTGAATCTCTTTATTTTGAAAAAGCGAGGAGAATGGGTTGAATATGGGATATACTGTTGTCACTGCTTGCGTCTAGATGCGAGTCCTTCAGTGGCCAAAGGCCAGGCTGGGTGAGCCTTTGATCTTTAAGGTCCCCTCCAACCTAAACCATTCTGGTTTTCCAGGTATTTTTCCCGAACTAATGGAAGTGTTCCTTACCCTGTCCTCCTAGGCTGCTTAGATAATTCCCCAAGTCTCCTCCACATGTTTTCCATCAGTTTGTTCTTATTTTAGCATGAAAATAAATGATAGATCCCCAAATTGCTTATGTCATGTGTTAGTAACTTGTGAGTTAGATTTAATCACTTTAAAAGACTTGAAAATGTTTCTAGTAGTATTAGTGTTCTTCTCAACTTCAGTTTGCATGTTTGAGGAGAAAATTCAGAGTTCTCTGACAGTGTGTGAACTTCTAATAGTAAATTGGGCCTAGTCCAGGAGCCTGTAGTCAGCATCTCTGCTGTGTCAGTAGATGAAGGGCAGAGCAACTGCAGTCTCCCCAGTTCCTTGAGGGAACGAGTGTCTCGGAGTTCCCTCGGAAGCACGCAGACACTGTGGAAAGCTGACTCCAAATCAAGTCCCAGTTTATTGCTACTATTCATTTGATGGCAACTGAAAAGGCTGATGTGAGTGGGATGTTATGAAGAGCACTAAAACTCCCTAAATGACGGGAAAAGGAAAAAGATGACCGTTGAATTTATGGATGCAGTGTTAGGGTGGGGAGGGGTGTACACATACGCTTTTTTGTGGGGAAAAAATGAGATGCTAAATATGCTTTGAAGAGCTGAGTCGAGAATCTGTGGTGGAAACTACTTTTTATTGAAAAATAGCAGCCTCAGTACACAGGATAAGAGATAAACAAGTGGGATCGTGGCTGGACATACTCGTACTGCTGAAAAACGGACGTGAATCTAATCCATGTGTAGCTATGAGCAGTTTTGAGATCCAGAGGCTATAGTAAATCAGTCAGAGCTGTGCTGGAAAGCCTTTCTGATCTAGAGCACCTATTGTGACGTGGGGCATGGGGCAGGAATAGATGGCCTTTGAGATCTGCTGAATCGCTGTTTATCCCTGTAGTGTTAAAATGAATAAAACACCCTTACGGGGTGGGGGTGTACCTCCTGTTCAGCTTCCTTAAAGGGCTGGCTGAAGCAGAGATGCAAAAGCCCAGTGAATGACGTGTACCCTTAGTCCCTTCAGGGAGATAGTGGGTGCCCTCGAAGGGCAGGTTGTCATTGTACTTTGTGAAAGTAATTGTTTACACAGCAGTAATACTGATCTTGACAATCACTGATCATATTGTAGCTACCGTTCAGGACTTTGTGACTTTTCCCTCTAGACCTGAGCTATTCCATGATTCTCTTTCCTTGCAACAGGAATAAGACTGAATGTATGCCTTGTTCATGTGTTTTTCCTGAAGATATTTCATTTGACTATTCTGCTTTAGGGTTTGGTTTACTTTTAAGAAAAGAACTTCATACCATGGCCTTGTTATGCTGCCGTGGTAGGACAAAGCCATCTGATTTCCCTTCTGCCTGTCTAAGCTTCTGTGGCTGCCCTAAATGGCATTTCTCATGTAACAGCTATTACTTTCCAAGTTATATCTAAATGAAAAAGCACGTTCAGCCTTCTATCACATGGTTCGTACATCTCTAACGTTGCCTACGTGAAGCTCAGGCTACCTTCCCTGCAGTCTTCAAAATAAGCCCCGCATCTCGAAGCAGCTAGGAGGAGATAGTTCACGGAGACTTGACCCTTGCCTACTGAGCCCCTGGCACTGTAGATCCCATACAGCTTCATCATGAAGGGCGTTCATGGTTTTCTATAGGAGGCAGTGCTTCCCTGTTACCTCAGATACATACTTGAAGTAAAACGGTACCTTAGCATGGACAGTTTTGGTTATGAAAGATTTCTTTCAGTCATGAGACTCCCTGATGTAGAACAAGTTCACTCTTCTAAAAATATTTACTTGGGATTCAGAATTAGGAGGGAAGTGGCGGAATAGCTGCATCTGCTTCACCCCTTACATCCTAGGATGAGAGACAAATTAGTCCACAAAACTTAGACAAGCCCCAAATGGGCAGTAGCCACCCTCCAGATCTGCGCAGTGACTATGCTGACGATGAACTCTGCACAGGCAACCGCACGTTGAAGGGCTGTGGTTACTGGAACGTAGACCATGGGGGATGTTCTCGACAAGACGATGCGGTGTGGAACCCAGGTCCAGACACCACAGGAGGAAAAGGTTCACGTTGTGTTTTGAAGTAGTTCTTGATGCAGAGCAAGTGGGAGAAGAGGCTTGTGAGAGTCATTTGGGAATTCTGCTGAGACAACCAGTTGGGTTTTCATTTTTGTGCTTTAAAAATATTTAGGCATTGAGTTGAAGATAGTGATGTGACCAAGGGATTGCTTTAACTGTCTACTAGAGAACTAACAAAACTATGTTAAGTAGTCACATTTCTTCATATTTTGCTTACAGGTTTCCATGTGCAACTTGTATGAACCTATTTGTTAAAATCTTAACTTGCTCATGTCATACTTGTTATTTTGTGTGATTGGTTATCTTACTTGTTTTCTTGAGAGAACAAAAAGACTTACAGAATCATAGAATCATGGAATGGTTTGGGTTGGAAGGGACCTTAAAGATCATCTAGTTCCAACCCCCCTGCCATGGGCAGGGACTTGTCAAGTTCTGCTTCTTACTAACTAATACTTGAGAAATTTTTAGCATTCTCTAATAGTTTTGATTATTATCCAGGTTGGTTGTGCGTAACTGATATAAAATCACAGAATAAAGTGAGTTGTGTTGCTGAAAACTGTAGGCAGATTTCCAACTGATCTTTTTTTTTTTTATAGCTGAAACAAGTGTTTTAATTTGTTTGCCATGATAGAAGAGGGTGGAGGAGTTAAAATAGCACAGTTTGCTCACCTAGTAATTCAGTTTTTCTAAAGGTTTGTTTTCAGTGCTGCTTTTTTTTAAGTCATAGAGGATGATTTTAAATAACAAGAATTTGGCAGGGATTTGGGGCCTTTTCTGCCTCTAATCTAAGGCAGGGCCTGTGCCACGTTTGTTACAAAGGCGGGCAAAGGTAGCCTCGTCAGTAGGGCACAAGGCTGGGGGATCCAACTCCAGCCTTGGCCATTGACCTGCTGTGAGTGAAGCAAGGGGGCCGTGGTCCACTCGCATCTGCCTTTCCACCCTACGTGTGCATTACGTGCTTAGACTGGAAACCTGAGGAGAAATGGTTCTTCAATTGTATGGTATCAGTGGAACTTCTGGGTACTGTGGCTATATGGATAATGGGGTAACAGGCTTGTGATTTAGGATAAAACTGGTACAGTCACTGTGGTAACTCTGTTAGTGCTGTCATATCTCGGTTGTCATAGCCAGGCTGAGTATGTTAGCGATGTGTTATACTGCTGGAGATTCATGTTAGCAGAAAGGATTACAGATAGTGGTAATAAAGTGGCTGGTATTCGTAACTCCAAGGAGAACAAACTTGCAGTCCTGATATAACTTATGTTTTAAAATATTTTTCCCTCCCTCATAAGGCTTTGGCAGCTCGACTACATCTGGGTTTAACTTCAGCAATCCCGGCATCACAGCATCAGCTGGCCTGACGTTCGGGGTGTCTAATCCTGCATCTGCAGGCTTTGGGACAGGAGGGCAACTTCTTCAGCTGAAGAAACCTCCAGCTGGCAACAAGCGAGGGAAAAGATAGGCACCCCTTTTAAGGAAGGGGACGCGAAGCAACTTTGTTCATCTGAAAAGTATATTTTTCTAGATTGATGCATTAATTAAAGTGCATCCCAGGAGATTTATAAAAATTTTGCTACTTTTCCCTAGTCTGAAATACAAAATGAAATCATATTGAACAGCTATTTTCTTGTGAATAGAAACCCGTTTATGTATTTTTATTTTTGGCCCTAGTTTTAGAAATGTTCTATACTGCATTATTATTAAAGAATCTTGTAAAACCATCTATTTAACCTAATGTTAGTAGCAGAATATTTTTTGTTAATAAGCTTTATACCACATGAATATATGCATATTTGTTTTTTTGTACAGATAAAATATATTCTAGTACAAATACTAGAGTTCATATCTTCTGTTCCTGGATATGGCCTTTAAATCTACTTCAGGGTGTTTTTGTGTATATGGATGTAAATATATACAGTACAGTGCACACATCTGTGTGTATGTATGTGTATATATATGTATAAAATACAGATGTGCAAACCTTGCCTCATAGACAGGTCTCCTCTGTGTGTTCTGTTTCTTCATGTTGCCCCGTGGTCCCATATCTTGATGTTCTTAGGAGTTTCAAATGGTGGGTCCTGGGCTATGTTGTCATCTTGTGTTTTCTTGTTTAAGACCAGCTGAAATACAATGTTTACTATTTCATAAAGTTTGGTAAATAGTGGTTAGTAGCTTGGGTTTTAATTTCTTAACCTTTTCCTTGACCTATTTAGCAGCCAACTCCGAAGAAGAATATGAGGTTTTGTCACAGACATTTCATAGGTAGTGTTCCCAGACTGTTTGATTTTGGTTTTTCTCCTGAGCTGAGGAGTAGGGCGCTGCAGGATTTCAGCTGAAAGCTCAGGATGCCGCAAGGTCTGCGTGCAAGCACAGAGCTGTCGGGCTGGATGAGCTTTTCCCTGCAACTGGGGGAGACAGGGGATGCTGTTCTAATGAAAACCCAAATGAGCTATTACAGAAGGGAGTTGATGCACTAGCTTCTCGTCAGCGCCATAGCATTGTCTTACCAGCAGTTGCCTATCTGCTTTCAGCACCAGGCACAGCACGGGAAGTTGGAGGAGGAGAGTGATGTAATTTGAAGGTTAAGGCTGTTGCAACAGTAGCTTATGAATCTCGCATATTACACCATCATAGCTTGTTGTGCTGCATCTCCAGTTCGGTCTGTGCTGGAAGTGGCTAGGAAAACAGCTTAAGGAGGAGCTGATAGATCAACTGATTCGTTGCAAATAAGTGTGATCGTGGAACGTTGGAGCCGAGTTGCTTTTTATGTAGATGTTTTGTATATAACACGCTTCAAACGAATATTCACCATCACTTTCACAAAAGCACCTTTTTTCTAAAAGTTACCAGTGCATAAGATTTTTCTAGTACCAGGTCATTTGCTTTTTATTGTTGAAGTGTTATTACCATTTTGTATGTTTTGGATTGATGTGGTTGCTCTGTGACAGAGGTCCGGTTTGTCACTTGATCTCATTAAGGGAACCTGAGCACAGAATTCTTCACTTTTGTACTTGTTATTGCATCTTTGTGAGCAGTCTTTTAGGAAGGGACATAATGTGTGGGGGGGTTATGTCTGGGAAAAATAAAGCTGACAGTTTATTTTGGTTTCAACCTTTTTTAAACGTACTGGGCTGCAGTCAAAAACGTAATGTTTGTATTCCTTTGTTATTGCTTTTTTTAATAGTTGATATGTTAAACCACTGGACTCTTGTAATGTATTAATTTGTGAAACTAATTCTAAATGTGTACTGTTTGTCCATATGTGCAACTTCCCATTGTGCAAACAATAAAACAGTAATGCTGTGATCCTTGTAATACATATTTGCCTATTTGAAAGGTCATTTCCCGTTCTTCTCCTGTGTTGCAGGAGAAACAAACTTCACCTGCTCATATGTAGGATTGTTTTCCCTAGAACTGACATAGGGCAGAATTGTTCGTGCTGAAGTGAGGGCCTTGATCTCTGGATTGAAGGGGCAGGGGGAGAAGGGGGGTATCGTGTTGTGAGTTTGCCTCTTCGCAGTGTGCTGTATAAACCTGGATCCTGCCGTAATGCAACACAGCACTGGGCACGGCTTTGTGAAGCCAAAAGCAGTCTTGAGCCTCCTGGGTACCTGTCTTCTGTCTCCCTTCACATTAAGGCAGCAGTTATTTCCTCAATTTAGCCCAAGTGAAAAAGTGGTTATGGAATAGAATGCTGGAGAACAAACTGAGTTCAGAATGGGATTTGAAATAATTGTATTCCCAGAATATTACCAGGGCCTGTAGTGACAGGACAAGGGGTAATGGGTTTAAATTGAAAGTGGGGAGGTTTAGGTTGGATATCAGGAAGAAGTTCTTCCCAGAGAGGGTGGTGAGGCACTGGCACAGGTTGCCCAGAGAAGCTGTGGATGCCCCATCCCTGGAAGTGTTCAAGGCCAGGCTGGATGAGGCTTTGAGCAACCTGGTCTAGTGGAAGGTGTCCCTGCCCGTGGCAGGGGGGTTGGAACTAGATGGTCTTTGAGGTCCCTTCCAACCCAAACCATTCTATGATTCTGTGATTTTATGACTTTTTTCCCCTCTGCCATGGGCAGGGACACCTTAGGGAGAAACTAAGAGTAACTATAAAAAAATCCATCCGGACTGTAGAGCGTATGTGCCTTATGCTCTGTAGAAGTTTGTTTCCCTAAAACAATTAAGTTTATAAGAACAAAAAAATGGCTGTACACCAAAAAAAAAAAAATCCAGCAATGAATTACACAGGTTTTGGACTAATTGCTGGGATTGTGCTGTCAGGCTGTTTCCATCTTCCCCTCTCTTCTGACCCTGTGGCTAGGATCTCCAGACAGTGATGGACAGTTAAGGTGTCACAGTAGCAGATTCGTACAACTGCTCCTGGATATCAGCAGTTGGGCTCGGAATTAAAACACTGAAGAAGAAACTAAGGGTTTCCCATCAGGATTCTACCTGGTGCTTTCAGCAGGTGCCAGCAGGCTGCCAGTTGCACACTGCTACCGCAGAGCTCTTGCAGGCCTCGTTGTCATACAGTATGTCGCCTTGTTTCCAGGTCATTCACATTTTCTTATGCTTGTCTAGAAGACAGTAGGATTTTGCTAAACTTCAACACCTGAATGATCCTTCTGACTCATTGACTCCTGCTGTTTCAAGGTTTATTACTCAGGGCTTTTTTACTCAGCCTCTGGAATTCAATCGTTACAGCCCATCACTGCAGTTGAAGCACAGTGAGGAGGTTGAGTACCCACGCGTTCACTTCAGCTCCGATGGCTTCTCCAAAGGGGGCTCTGCTTTTGGTTTCCCCGCCTGTAAGGCAATTCTAGCTTTCTGCAAACAGGTTACGATTAACTTTGTAAACTTCTGCAAACTCTGGGTTGATTTTATTTGTGTTCGGGTCTAGATCTGCCCCTGCCAGGCTGTCAGGTGGTTCTGCTGAACACCTGCACGGAAAACTTGGAATACGTACATCTGTGTGGTGGGTTGGCCCCGGTGGGGGGACAGGTGCCCACCAAAGCCGCTCTGTCACTGCCCTCAGCTAGGCAGGGGAGAGGAAATACAATAAAAGGCTCGTGAGTCGAGATGAGGACAGGGAGAGGTCACTCACCAATCACTGTCACGGGGGAAACATTCAACTTGGGGAAAATTAATTAAATTTATCACTAATCAAATCAGAGTAAAGAGAGAACTGAAATTAGATCATAAAACATCTCCCAATCCCTTCCTTCTTCCCAGGCTCAAACTCACTCCTGCTTTTCTCTACCTCCTCCTGCCCTCCAGCAGTGCAGGGGGACAGGGAATGGGGGTTGTGGTCAGTCCACCACACGCTGTCTCTGCTGCTCCTTCCTCCTCAGGGGACAATCCTC